AAAATGTTCCGAGGTCTTCTTTGCCGTTTCCCGTTTGCAGTAAACGTCTTGCTTAACTTTTCTGATGTTTCAAAGAAAAAACGTTAGCAAGGTTGAAAATCTATCGACTAATTTAAATGCTAAGGAAAACACTATGAGGCACAACGGTTGCCTAGTTTCAATTAAAAAAATAAACAAAAACAAAAACAAGGAAACAATTGTGAGAAATAAATTTTGTAGCAAAGCTACCAGCAGTAAGCTTCGACGTGATTGCCTTTTTTAACTCTTCTGTTTTGTCTTTTCGTATGGGACGCTCGATGTACATCCTATATCTAAAATCTTTCTACTCTGCAGAATAGGATTATTGTAACGCGTAAACATTATGATATTAACGCAAAAGCTATAAATTGATGATCACGCCATATCATGCAAACCGTTTTCTGTCGTTGAGCCTCTTGAATTTTAAAAACAATTTTCTCAAGTAAGCGGGCTGCAATCAGTAACTTACTGGGTGCTTTTAGTACTTTCTAACTGTTTAACGCACACTAAACATGATTTATATCATTTATTTGGGGATTTTTGAATAAGAGTGGAATTTTTTTCCAGTCTGTAAGAGAGTACACCAAAAAAAAAATTTATTTGTATTTCTTTCATAATGCTATCGTAATAAATGTAAAGTTGAGCAAGGGAATTAAAATGCATTATAAACAGAAACACCAAGAACATATTCAGTAATGTAACACTGGTGAATACAATGCAAGTTTAAGATATACTCTTCTACCAGCGTAAAATAATAAAAGAAAAAAACCATACTCTCCTCTGCCCTTCAAGGAACAAAAAAATGAAAAAATGAAAATAAAAAGGGAACAAGATGATAAAGAGCGAAGTGAATTTTCATCGTCCGCCAAGTGATGTTCACGGCATGTGACGTGAATCACACGAACACTCAGTTGTTTGGCGACGTTTCTTCAACTTCAGGCGAAGGATCCAAACTTTCCGTTACTTTTTGTTGGTTACTTGACTTGTTATTGCAATTTGGCCGACAGATTCTTCATACCTTTTTAGCCTATTCTATGCTCTGGTAGGCTGTAGGTGTTAAAGAGACGTTACTTGCTTAACCATGCAAAAAGATTTGCACGATTCACATCGTAATGAACATCACCCTTACTTGTCAGATACAAAAGGAGCGGGAGAACGTAGGATTAGATCAGTCATAGTGGAAGTGATCGTTTTGAAGGTTTAAGGAAAAGCTTTTCTTGCGGGTGGATAAACATTAACTCATCTTTGGAAGTTTTATTTTTTACCAATATTTCATCGACATTCATATTTTAAACGAAGTCAAAAAATGTAGATGAGAAGTTATTGCCAACATTTGTGTTGCGTGAGATAAGCGTTTTCTTTAATTTATTTCTATTTGTCTTGTTTTACTCATACTTGATACAGTTAAAGTTTCCGATTTACCCGCTACTCTAGTTATTAAATTAATTTCAACAGAATTTCCGCTAATTTAGCCTAATATCTTTCAAAAACTCAAATTGTAAACACGCGTATGGTTGGCTCCGGTGTGTTTAAATCTAACATGAAGAGAAACATTAAATTTTTAGAGACCATGCTATAGGTATTAAACACTACTTCTGTTTTACCCCAGTGCTGTCTGACGATTTCACTGAACAAATGTATTTTGTTAACTTTTTTTCCCTGAAAAGAAGAGAAAAGAAAAAAAAAATACAAATCAAGATGGCCAATTTAGCGAATATTGCTCTGTTATTTTGTAAAGTTTCCTTGATCAACGGTCTTCGAAATGAGATAATGTTTATAGTTTTATATTCTGATTACATATACACGTTCCCGTGTGAAAAATCTTCTGAAACTCTATCAAAATCGAGTTTGGCCACATAACAAACAAGAATTTTCTGGTGCAGTTCAACTTTCTCTCCGTATTTTTTTTTTTAAAAACCTCGTAAAGGACAACTCAGAATGGCGTGTTCAATTACAAGAAGTTCGCAAACGGAGATCTGTGCAATTAACGCGGTTCAACTTCCTTCCTCAAATCACTGACTATTTTATTTTAGTCTTATTAACTTAAAAACGTTGCTAGTGTATTACGAAAAGTACTTCCTCTTTCACGGGTTTTCAAACGCGAAAATGTAAATATAACTAATTTTTGTTGCTCTCATTATTTTCATGTCGTTTAGATAGTCTGTGCTAAATGCTTAGAGAGCTGCAGGAAACTAAAGGAAAATAATGTTTTGGAAAAATTGAATTCATTTCCTCGGGCGATATTGAATGTAAAAGTCCAAACAACAATTAAAGATGCCATCAACACGCTAGGCAGGAAGAGTCTTAGGATTAAATGGCAGCTTTAAAAAAATACTTTCAATTTATTTTATTTCGCTTTGGAGAGCTTCATCTCCTTATGCAGGGGAATTTTATTAACAAAAGTTCTGTTGTAGGTCTAACGACAAAAAAGAATCCACGGCTTTTAGCTTGGTTCTATTCTTTTCAAGGATGAATCAATTTTAGTTATCCTTGGTGAATATGTATATTTGCCACTAATATCTACACCCCAACGAAATTCTGGTTCAGCTTATAAATTACTTCAATCAAATTGATTAGAAAGAAATGCTTAAACCACGAGACTCATCCTAGCGTCTAAAAAACTGCTAGGTGTTGTTTAGGTAAAATATTTAAGCGCTACTTCTTGGAAGTGAAAAAGTGAAAAAGAAAAAGATGCTCTTCAAGCGATGCGGATGAGAATTTTTTTAAACATCTTATGATAAATTGTTCCGTGAGTGAAGCGTGTTTTCTTTTTTTTATTTTTAGGTAATAATTTTTTTCATTTCAACAGGATGCAATTTTAATTTTCGGATTAATTCAATACTTGACCTATTTAACAGGGATGTGACTCAAAGATGTCATATTTAGACGAGAATTTCTCTGGTTCTTAAAAATGGAAACGTTTTCAGGAAAGATTTGGTCAGAAACGTTTGCATCTGAATTGATGAAAGTGATATTACCATCTTAACCTGCGTGTAAAATCAAAGGCCGCACCGTTAGAACAATTCAGGTGATTTCCTACGGTAAATGTAGTTATCATTTATCACAAGTTTCTCCTTCTTCATATGACCCCATGGTATCTAAACCGGTTACCTCTATACAGTTTATTTCTATAATTTCCATGTTAATTACGAAGCACGTCCCATCACTAAGTGGCTTCAGACATTTCTTTTTTTCTTTTCCATTTTTTTTTGCCTTCGTTTTCTTCTCCTTTGTTAACTCAAGCACCTCGCTAGATTATTAATTTTTTTTCTCTATCCTTTTTTATCCAATAGCATGGAAGATAAACTTTCCAATCGAAACAAGGTTTCAGGAAATTTTTCTTTTTCATTAACTTTATTGCCAAGAATCAAGAGTTAGGTGCGAGGATCAACCCTGTGATATCATTCTTAACACATTCAGTTGCTACTTTCCCAGAAGAAAGAATATATTGACAACAAATTTCCGTGTTTGTGAAAACGCTTCAATCAATTATTTCATTTGCTATTTTATTTGTTCATCTATTTATCAGCTTAGTCAATTATAATTTTTATGGCGTAAAACACTTTTGGTTTGTTTCATGTTCCTTAATCATAACGATTTATTTTGTCAATTAGTTTGTCTTTTACAATGCGGCATACCCAGTCTTGCGGCAGCAAAACGAACAAAATTAATAAGTTTTTTTCATCTCCCCAGGGCATTATGATAATGCCCCCGCGATGGTAAAAGTGAAAAAGCCACAGCAATTGTACATGGGTAAAAAAATATAGTAGCGTGGGAAAATTTGATTTTCTTTGCAATCCAGTTTTCCAGTGTGGCTAACTCACTACAAAGAAAGTTTTTGGATTCTCTGAAATCGGTCAAATCGAACTTCATATTCACAATTACATTAAAAAAAAAAAACTTCTCTAAAGCAAACTTCCTGCCTGTTAGATAAACGTCTGTAGACATTATAAGGGTTGTTTTTGTGTCAGTTTATATTTCACTGTCATTTGCGATTCAAATACTGGGCAATGAGCCCTTTTGGGCAGAGAACCTTTCTTTCATAGCAATGAATCATACGAAAATATTTCAGAATTTATATTTTTAAGTTGTTATAATCATCCATGCGTTCAGTTTTGTTTGAAAGTTTTGGCAGACAGCTCTCGGCTTACGATTTACATTTCGATTTGGTCTTTTAATTAGAATAGGGTTCCCAATTACCAAAGCAAAAATTATTCTTACATGCTGGGATTTATGTTGTCTTGAGTAGTTTGCCTTTGCATCCGATGAGTACAAGAACGACATTGGATTTTAAAGAAGACATTTCCGTTTCAATAGGCAAATAACGTTAATTGAGACGCAGCTGATGAACGTCTGTTGCAACGTTTCGGCCTCATCAGCCTTAGCACGCTAAGCTGAATGCAGAACACCTCTCTCATAAACCTCTTTTCATTTAAGGTTCAGTTTTTCTTTTCACCTTTTTTTTATTCGTAAGATTTAGTATTAGTTTGAGAACCTTTGACGCGGAAGATCAAAGATGGCGCGATATCAACAGATATTGCCCTGGACAGACGCAGCAACTCTTTCTAATTAACGGCTAAACAGTAGGGGACACTTGGTTGATAACACCGAGGACTCAAAAAAGAAACATCTTAAAAGGATGCTTAGCTAATTCAGTACGTGATATCATTCTTTTTTTTTTCTTGGTGTTTCATAAACGGAATTAACCGCATGAAAGGGCTCAGCCCCGTTGGGTAGCTTCTCCTAATGGCTCTCTTGAAAGCTCCACAATTGTAATTTAAATTCAACAGGTATAAAACTTGTTGTCCTTTTACTGAATGCTGTTTCTTCAATATCTCGCAGAAGGAAGCGATCTTTCCAAGACCTAAAGACCTAAAGGGTTTAAGTGAAGTTTTCCAAAGGGCTAACGACACGCAGACGGACATCTCTTTAGCTCTCTCTTGAGGAAAGGCAATTGCTAACAGTTCCGCTTTCATTTCAAGGCTCACAAGGTAACAGCGAAGGAACATGTCCACCGAACTTCTACAGAATTGCTCGACAACACATTGCGGAAACACAACATATAACGGAAATATGACAAGCTCTGCTCAGATAAATACCCCCGAAAGTAACTCTATGGCAAGGCTGGGAGAGGCAGAGATGCCCTTCAAAGAGACGCTAAAGCTAAGTTTACAATTGTTAATTGCTCTGTTCGGTGTAGTGGGTAACGTCTTCGTGATAATTATCATAAGTAGAATGGGTATGAGGAAGACTGGGGTGGATCTCTATCTCGTAAACTTGGCCAGTGCAGACCTCGGCTACTTGTTGATAACACTGCCTATTGGAGTAATCAAAGAGAACCTTCCATTTAAATGGCCTCTTGGAAAATTTTTCTGCCTCTTCCTAGGTCCTATTACTGACTTATTCATCGGATCATCCATATGGTTTATTGCAATTATTGCCATACAGAGATATAGGAAGGTGCTCGCGCTTCAAGCCAAACGCAGTGGCGGAAGAAAGACTTCCCTGAGAACAGATAAAATCGTTGTGGGGGTCGTGTGGCTAATATCATATTGCTTCTTTTCCATTCCACTCAACATTGTTTACAAATATCTGGAGAACGATGAAGCAAAGTATTGTGGTACAGTTTGGCCTCATTGGGATAAAAAGTTTATACTATTGCGCACATATGTCGCGGCGCTAACATTGTTGTCTTATATATTGCCACTCTTTGTGATAGCACTGACCTATATTGGAATAGCACGCAGAATTGCTCGCAGCAGCAAATTTCTGAAGGATATGAAAATGACACAAAGCGGCGATTCACTATCAAGTGATGAACGTTTACGTTGGTCCACAGTTGAAGCAGAGCGACTTAAACAGAACAAGCGAGTGAGGAAAGTCTTAACGCCTTTGGTGATGATGTTTGCCTTAACCATGCTTCCTCTAAATGCGATGCGTATCGTCCTTGCTTCATGGCCAGCGGTCGTCGGTCAAAGATACTATAATGATGTGATATACGTTCTAGTGTTATTTGTTGCAGTCAATTCGTCTTCGAATCCTGTAATCTATTCATTGGTCAGCAAAAACTTCCGTCAGGCACTGAAGGAATTAACACACCGTCGACATCGTTTTTCCTGTAATTTTGTTTCACGTTCATGGCAACCTGCACATTCATCTCACAATCAGATGCCCGCTTTTTATGTGAACAGTACTTTTAAGACGTCGGAAACAGCAATTCCGAGTTCAACGTCACAGATTTCCCTGTTGGAACACTCCTCCCCTAACACTGTTAGAGGCAGCCTCGCTGTTCTCACTATCCCTCAGTAGGAACGATGACCGTGGTAATGCCGTGGACGGCGGCAGTAGAAAAAAGACTTTCGATGCATTCTCTTTCCATATCAGTAAAAGGATTGTCTTCATCTTACTGGTGGAGAACAAGTATCAGGGAGATAAAATGATGCGATTACACATCGGCTGTAATAAAGTGACGGTGGAACTTCGCACCGTGCAATATCGCCTCTGCATAATATTGTTAAGACTGATTCACTTCTAATCACCTAACGATATCCTGGGAAAAGCGTCTTTAGAAGTTGTTACAACACTGGAAGGCGGAATGCTAGCGCAGAATTTACTTGTATTGTTCAATAGGTTCACTAAGTCGCTAGGATTAATCATTGTATGATATTTCTGCATGCAGTACAAGATTTATATATAAAGTGTTTTAGTGTTTTACCGCGTAAGTTTAGTTTTCGTAATAAAAGTTTGGTGTTATATAAGACTGTATGAGAGAGTAGCTTGAGGAAACAGTAGTATTGTGCGAAGATGATATTTTGTGGACTGGACGGTTACAAAAGTAGCGCGTTGTCCTTGTAAAACTATGGTTCCACCTAAAATAAAATGATGATAGAAAATTACAGAGGAAATGGCCTTTTACTCTATTTCAGTTATTTAACTGTATTCAAATGTGAACCTTATCAGATGAAATCCTTAGCAATAATAGTCAGTCATACTATGCAACAGAACAAATGCTATGGAGTTATGATGAATAAACTTTTTAAATGATTAACCCTTTTCAGGCAAGCCATGTATACATGGGCGTAATAACACCCACTATTGTTGTTATTTGTTTCTTGTTGAAATTAAGAGCGAATGTTACCAACAGTCACATTAACATTTGGTGGCAACAGCCAAAAACTCGATTCGGCTCATATTCTCAAGTTAGGGAGGCCTTATGGTGAAACAGAGCACTACATACTTCGTTTGGCTGAATATCGATTTATTTTCGAGAAAATCGTTAATAACTGAATTTCTACCAAATGCCGCTTTTGAAGCTCAAAATTTCAGACAAATCTCGGAGCGTCACGCAACGATTTGAAAACACCTGGACCGATAAAAACTACCAAATCTTGAAACACATCAATACATGTGTTGACAACAATTTGAGCAATTCTTAATCGTTTATTTACACAATCTTATTGAATTTGACCGACCTTCTTCTAACAAGATTAAAAATAGGTCAAAAGTAACCCGTTATTTAATTATGTGCTCTACAAAATAATCGACTGAAAATCTGGCTTTCGGAAGGCGAAGTGTGGTTATTTTTGATCTCCAAGGGATTTTTTTGGGGAAATGATTCAATGCAATTTAATCAAATTTTAAAATTGGATAAAATGAGCTGATTTTGACCGTGCCGTCAGTTATTCGAAAATGTTTACATTCACACAAAAACTCAATTGCTTCGCATTTTACATCCAATCTACAGCTTATTTAACATAATATCATCTTACCGTCCATATTGCTGTATCACAAAAGGGGATTGCAGTCCTAAAATTGTTGTATTGCTTCCGCAATAGCAATAGAACTTGAAAGGATAGTCAACACATCCTGATAATGATTGTTTACAAAGTGTATCTTGGGGTTTCTCTATTCCCATTTCGTTGAAATGCTCCGCGTAAGAGCTCTTTGTTTAATTATAAGTCTACAACCGAACCGTGAACCAAATGTAAGGGGAACGTTGCTGGTTCAGAAACATCTTTCTCGCGTGCAGAATAACGCTAATTGATTCAAAATGAGGTCTCCTGCATTAAAACGCAAAAGTAAAACATTGGACTATGAAGCAGGAGCAAACAATTATCTAACTCCGATCATAATTTAATGTATCATAATTGAATGTTTCATGGTACTTCGGGGGACAAAGCTCATTTTAGGACAAGAAAAGCGTGAAAGATCTGCAAAGGGCATATCCCATCATACATCACTGCAGATGTGCGAGAAAGAAAAGTGTAGTGTTTGAACATTTGTTTATTTAAAGGAAATTTTATAAGGGTCAAACCTGGACTGAAACCACAACTTTCGCTGAAATGTTTGTAAAAGCCAACGTTCAACAGCTTTATATTCATACTACTTCTTCTCCAGACGCTACTGTGCCCTGTTAAGTTACTCGTGTCGGTAGTAAGACTACGACCCAGGTAACACGTTCACATTTTTTACACCCACTTTTTCCTAGCAGCGGTCCAAAAAAAGCTCACATCTGGAAATAAAACCATTTCTGCGTATCTCGGAACTCAACTGAGCAACGCTACGAGTAACCATTGCACCAGCTGACACAGAATACTCGAGTGCGCGTCGGTATACCTACATCAAATACTTGCATTTTGGAAACAGTGGCTTTGAAAAATCAACTCACTAGTTAGTTATTTAGTATTCTTGCCCAAGAAGGTGGCCAAGTAGTGATCTATCCGCCTCAAATATGGTCGGGTCCAAAGCCATCAATGCATTATATGGCGAAATATTATAGAGCGTGGCTGATGCGTAATGAGAAATTTAACATAAACCTGTTGTCTGGTCAGACCAGAATGTTCAAGCCCATCGGGAAAAGATTGACATCTAGATATAACCAGAAAAGAAAGTAAAGAAACCCATGTTGTGCCTATCTCCTTAAATCCTTCCTTCCAAGATAATAAATTTAAGAAGTGAATGTGACTACTTCTTATAGAAGTCCAAAGCCAATCAATGCATCATATGGCGATATATTATTGAGCATGGTTTGATATCTCAGAAGGAACTCTGCACCTCGAACTAGAGCCTCTCGTTCACCCCAAACCAAGCTTTGCGCTAAGCGAGGGACAAATTGTCATGGAATGTATGTCAGCAGGAGGAGAGAATATGGCTGCTCGGCTAAGAACTAGGTCAACTTCATCTTTTGGCCCGGAAAAACCGAGACTAGAGGAATTGCTCTCAATCCGCCTTGAACAGGCAAGAAGAGGATTACTGTTTCCCGTTTTCTGTCGGTTAGCCCCTTCCATCTCCTGCTTCGGTGGTCGCCTCCCTGCTTCCAGCCACTGCCGCACTGCTCGTAGATGTTTGTCCTTGGACTGCTCTGTTATAAAGTGCTCATTGACCATGGCAGGGGGCGTTTGTCCAGGTTCAGACTGCATACCCTCAGGGGGGGTTGACTTATCAACATGGGTCGTCGTTTTGACAATCAGTGGCGCGCTAGAGACATTTGTTTCCTCCAGCTTGTCAACCAGTGGGTCTTCTGGCCAAGGTCTACGCGACAGGCCATCAGTGTTGGTATGCAGACGACCAAGCCGATGTTCTATTTTCTTGTCAAACTGCTGCAGGTACTCAACCCATCGGGCTTCCTGTGGTTTGGGGTGCTTAAAACTCTGGAGCCACACTAACGATTGATGGTCCAGCCGAGCAACAAACTGCTCGTTGATGAAATAAGGGTAGAAGGATTCTGTCCCGAACACAAGAGCATACATTCAAGCTTGGTTGGAGGCCACTTCCGCTGCGATTTTGTCAGGGCCTTCGCAGCATACGCAACGGGGCGCTTCTCACCATCCTACACTTGAGACAAAACGGCAGCGACGCCGGTTGTGCTAGCGTCAGTGTCTAGCACAAAAGGAAGGTCAAATTGTGGAAAGGCGAGCACAGGCGCTGCACATAGGGCTTGTTTCAGGCCATCAAAAGACTTCTGAGAGGCGATCGACCACATAAACTGACGCCCCTTCTCCTCTAGTTGGAACAGAGGGTGTGCAAGGGTTGCAAAGTCTGGTATAAACGTTCGGTAGTACCCAACCTTGACCAGGAAAACACGCAACTCAGACACAGTGGTTGGGAGAGGCCAGGACATCACTGCAGACACCTTTTCAGGATCTGTGGACACTCCTTGCGCTGATAAGATGTGGCCAACAAATGGTACGCGCTTTGGTAGAATACGGCATTTCTCTGGTTTCACTTTTAACCCGGCCTCCTCAATGAGGGAAAGAGCACGATCCAGTGATTCACAGTGCTTGGCAAAGGTGGGACTAAAGAGCAGGACATCATCAAAGAATGCCAAGAGTTCTTCCCAGGTCATTCCTGTTAACAAACTAGCAATCTGGCGCACAAAGAAGGGAGCTGCATTACAAAGCCCAACGGGAACCCGCATCCACTACCAGTGTCCTTACTTGGTGGAGAACGCTGTTTTCCCTCTGTCATCGGGGTGGATTTCGAATGATAGGCAGAGATGCAGAGATGAAGTCTAGAGTTGAAAATAATGTCGCTCCGCCAAGAGAATCAATCATGCCCTCCACCTTCGGGATAAGGTAGTGTTCCTTGACGGTGACACTGTTTAGTCTGCGAAAATCAACACAGTAACTGTATGAGCCATCCTTTTTAGAAGCTAAGACGACTTGGGCACTCCAAGGACTGGTGGAAGGTTCTATCACATCTCTCTCAAGTAGCCTTTGCGTCTCCTCGTTTATGTACTTCTCTTGTTCTGGTGAAAAGCGGCGCAGGGGAGGTCTTGAAGGGGGAGCAGAGCCACTGTTAATTCGTAATTGGGCCTTAGTGCAGTGGCTAATGTCGTGTGGCCCTCTCGATATCACCTAGGAATGCTTGGCCAAGATTTTCCATACGCTAAGTTTCTGATCTTCTGTTAGCTGGTCATTGTCTATGGGAATAGCTTTTTCATCTCCTCAACTGCATCCCAACTCAGCTCTGCTTCGACTGACACCGCGTTGCAATTCAGTTGTCTCTTATTGCTGTCGGGAAAGGCGGTTTCTACTCTGTAACTGCGTTGCGTAGGTATTGCTTGCCCCTTTTCTACTACTAGACAGAAATCTTCTTCATTTGTATCCTTGTGGATGGTAACTGGCCAGCCGGAGTAGTTGTAGAAACGAACTGGGACCGATTCATTATTGACCGAGGATAGAGAACTGGGCACCGCAATCGGGAAGCATTCAAAGAACCTTTCCAGAGGTTCTAGGATCCCATGAATTCCTTCCAAATTCACCCCTTTGACTTGGCAAACAAGAAGAACCTTCTGATCTGGTTGTATGGTAACAGTTTCTACCAGTGACACCCTGTGCACCTCCCAACGAGATTCGCCTCTCAGTTTTATCTGGGCGTTTCCAGCGTGAAGGGTTCCCCTATTAAATTCAACAACACACCTATTGTTTTGTAAAAAGTCCATCCCAAGTAGGGCATTCTGCTTCAGATTGTCGCAAACATAGAACAGCTGCTTAGCTCTTATCCCCTCGAGAGTGGTGTCTAGCTCCACAATTCCAAGGATACTGGATTGTGAGCCCTCAGCACCCACAATCTTGGATGTGACCTTCCTCAGGGTGTCATTTAAGGTGATAACTGTTTGAACACTTCCTTATTCAAAATGCAGATCGGGCTACCACAATCCACCACTGCACTCACAGGGACCCCTTTGAACTTGCAGTCGAGCAAGAACACGCTAGGTGGGATGAAACTAATGCGTATCTCTGGTACTTGGTCTCCGGGCGGGGAGCGACTCACGGTTACGATCTGTCCCCCGCCCTGCGGAAGTTTCCCTGAGGGCAGTTCCTCTGGAAATGATACATAGACCCACATGACCAACATCCCCTACCCCTGCCATTGGGT